AGTTTCTACTCTTCTTCCAAGAAAAATTCCGATGATGCAAAGATGGTGTACGTAATATGAAAGAAAATTTTTGTTCGATTCTTTTTCGTTCGAATTAACAGATAGAGGAATGGGAACGAAACGTATTTATCGAATAAAAATGTGAATGTGAAAATATAAAAGAAAATAGATGGATGGTTTTAAAACTTTTGAATTTAAAATCTTCAGTCTTATTATTAAATGATTATCGAAAAGTATATAAAGCAAATAGTTTTATAATATTTTTGTATATTTTTACAATAATATAAACAACTCGAAGCACAAATTACGTTTAACATCACGTACGCGATCCACGTTGATTTCTAAGCTGACTTAGTTAAAAATATTCTAATTAACTAATTTATCGGAAATTTATCGGTATACTCGATCGTTTTGAAATTGTTCCTCTTCATTCTTCGAAGATGGAAAAAGCGACGTAAGTTTGCAACATCCGGCGGAAATTTAACCAGAAGTTGTCGATCTTCGCTCGTGACGTATATATCGTCGATATATCTCGATCCCGCTATAGCCACACGACGTTTGTAGGTTGGATAGGCTGCGAAAATGACGCGCTACCACGAATGTGAGAAAATGATGTTTAATTCGCTGAAATTTCGCGAAACGCACAATCCAAACCACGTATCCGTCGAACTAAAGCCAAACATGTTTCATCACAGATGTTACAGACTGTCCAGGATGGACGTAATAGCGTACAATCACCATCACGAGATCGCGAGCGTCGAGTACAGTATCGATGACGGTGACCTCGAGAGCCAGAATGAGGACGAAGACGAGGATATATCCCCGTATATCGACATCGATCAGCGTGTTCTGACCCTGGAACGGCTGTCCGCTGCAAATGGCGAGAAGAAAGACAAGACGCCGTTGAGGAGAAGTTTATTCTCGTACGTGGCGCCGTACATCGTGTTCCAGTCGTTCGACTGCAAGGGGCCAATAATGCCGCACGAAGTAACCAAACACCTGAAGTGGCATCTCAGCACGATCACACCATTAATCGTACGTCGTACCTTGATCAACTCAGGTTTTCAACTGATGAAGAGGTGCCAGGAGTGGTGCGGCACCTGGGGCAAGCACATGAAGTCGTCGTGCTTCAGGACGGTGAAGGAGTCTCAGAAGATCAATCATTTTCCGGGCACGTTCCAGATAGGGCGTAAGGATTGTCTCTGGGTGAACCTGAGCAAGATGATGTTGAAACACGAGGTGAAGGAGTTCGATTTCGTTCCGCGCACCTACGTTCTGCCCCGCGATCTCACCTGTTTCCGTCAAGTTTGGAAAAAGTTCGGCAGCAAGGGGAAATGGATCGTGAAACCGCCCGCCTCAGCCCGGGGTACGGGCATCAAGGTGGTGCACCGTTGGTCCCAGATACCGAGGAAACGGGCCGTGATAGTGCAACAATACCTGTCCAGGCCTAAACTGATAAGCGGCGCCAAGTTCGATCTGCGCCTCTACGTTCTTGTAACGAGTTTCAACCCATTGAAGATCTACCTCTACCCGGACGGCTTGGTCCGTTTCGCCTCGGTCAAATACAACGACGACATAAACTACCTCAGCGACCGTTTCATGCATTTGACCAATTACAGCATCAACAAGACGAACTCCACCTACACTAGCAACGACTGCGTTGATTCTTGCACGGGGCACAAATGGGCGCTAAGAACTCTTTGGTCGTACCTTGAGAAGGAGCACGTGAACGTTTCGAAGTTGTGGGCGACCATGAAGGACATAGTGGTGAAAACGATGATCGCCGGCGAGTCGAACATCACCCCGTTGACCAGGGTCAACACGACATCGCGTTACTGTTGCTACGAATTGTTCGGATTCGACATCCTTCTCGACGAGAATTTGAAACCGTGGCTGCTCGAGGTGAACATATCGCCCTCGTTGCAATCCTCCTCGCCTCTCGACACCGCCATCAAGGGTCCATTGATCAAGACTGTGTTCAACATAGCCGGATACCAATTGCCAAACACATTGTCGTTCGAGGAAGCGAGGAAATTAGCGGAGAAGTATGAGTTGGATATGGTGTGCCAGGATTACAGGCTGCATAAACTCGGGTTGAACAACCAGGAACGGATTAAACATTCGATCTATATGAATTTGAGGAATCGTGAGGATTACGTGGAGTCCATTATCAAAAATCTCACTCCGGACGACGTTAGACAATTGGTCATGTACGAGGACGAGCTGACGCAATTGGACAGGTTCGAGAAGATCTTTCCAACTGCCAATAGCTACGAGTACCTGCAGTACTTTGACGTTCCAAGGTACTATAACATGTTGTTTGACGCGTGGGAGGTGAAATACGCGGATAACAGATCGGAAGGGATAATGAGATTGCAGAAACTGTGCCAGCAAAAGTATCATTTGGAACCGGTCTGTTAATAAGGGATACATTGTGTTCTTATTTAGGGACCTAAACTGTATAAGGTTTTTTTTTTTTTTTTTTTTT